CACAGCGATGAAGCTGAGGAAACAGCGCTCACCCTTCCTGCTTTGCCAGCGCTGGCTTTATTTTCTCTCCTCTTCCTCCCCGCTCCCTTCCCCCTCCCCTCCTCCTCCTTCCTACCTTCTTGCGTGCTGGTCCCCACCTGCGGGGTGATCTCATAACCAACTAGAAGGACCGTAACCTGCAGTTTGAAAAACACTATTCAGGACTCTAAGTTCCTTGAGGGCAGTGAGTGTGTCCCTGAATCATTTTGTCTTCATATTTCCAAATTCCAGCACTATTCCTCACTCAGTAGCTTCTTATTAAATGTTTTCTGAATGAATAAGCCTCAGTTAGAAAGTTCTGCAGCCACTGGGATTCCGGAAGGGACAGGAGAAGTGAATAATTTATCACAGCCTTCCCAGGAGCTCCCGCTGTCCTGTACACACTCAGCCATTGTGGGCTTGTCTGGGAGCCCTGCTCTCTGCCCTGCCTTCTGCTTCCTCCCACCTTCAGGAGAGAGGGGCAGAGGTTTAATGAAGTTCAGAGATTTTCCCAAGACAACATATTAATCAGGTTCTTGGGTGGATATTTGTCAAGGCACAAATGATAAGAAAGCAAGATTCTTAACAAGACCTGCTTTTTACTTTTTATATAAATTAATCCTTAAACCTGATTCCTTCTGCTCCTTCTAAAGAAACTGTTGTGCTGTTTTTCAGCCCATCTGTTAGACCCCGACCATTTCTGATTTTTTCAAACACTATAAATCTTCATTAGGCCATGCCCCATGCCAGGATTTTTCCATTTGGGGATAGAAAAAAAATTCCCAAGCCCACCAAAACCCTGTGGCTTGGCTTCCTGGCCAGCTGGCTTGCTGTTCCTTGGGATTTTATTCCCATCATCAAAGTGGCTTGACAGACTGAGAACAAACCTCTGGCTCACCCTGAACTCACAGTATACTGTTTCCAAGTCAGAACAAACACCAAGTAATAGCAGGAGAAAAGGAAGAGAAAAAATATTTTCCTGACTTAGAAGCCAGTTCAGAGAAAGTCCAGCTCTGTGACTGTAGACCAGGCTGTTATATGTGGCCATTCCTGCAGGGTGGGCATGAGTGTGGGCACAGGGCCATGACTGTGGCCCAAGTTGCCCCACCACCATGGGTGGACTCTGTAGTAGCCAAATCGTCCAAATCATCTGTTCCTGCAGTCGGCGTGTGTAGCACTTGAGGGAGCCTCCCGGGACCTTGTTGAAGACAGCCCTGGCCCCAACCCTCACAGCTATGGGCCCGTCAGAATAGTCCCAGAGGTTTCTTAAGCCAGTAAACCTCCAGCCTGTGCAAGGCCTAAAAAGACAGAAAACTGGAGGCTGGGAGGGAGCTCGGAAGATTGATCAACAGCCTTCCCTCTATTCATTTAGAAATGTTCAAAAAGTGTTAACTTAGCTTTAAAAACTTCATGGAAACCAGGCTCCTTGTCAGACTTAAAAGGCAAACCAATTTCCTGAAAACTTTCCTTTTATGATTCCTCATGGCTCCACAGAAAAACATCCTGGGCTAGAAGCTCTGACTGGGAAGCCACTTGGTAACACAGGTAGTAAATGATGGCACCAAAGAGAACCCTGTAAGCTTCAAGCGACTGATGCTTGATAGCCTGGCCCGTGTCACTCGTTCCTGCCTTCTCAGCATGTTCGCTAATCTGCATACTACTGTGTCCCGTCCCTGGTCAGGCCCAACTCCTTCCCACATCTGCTGCCCGGTCTCAAAGTGCCCTTGTCAGCCTTATCTCACTTCATTCTTCCCATCTCACACTGCCTAATTGGAAGCACGTCTGCATGAGCCCTCTTCATTTCTCTGTATCCTGCCCCAAAGTCTGTCTGGGGCTCACCCTCCAGATCTTCCTGGTATTCTCAGAGGCCAGTAAGCATTTCCTGTACCCTTCCTCCCCACACCAGGTCAGAGCTGGCTGCTGAAGATGTCCTGGCCTTTGGTCATTGGCATAGCCCTGGCTCCTTGATGCTCTGTGGCAGGCCAGACCTTTGTGGTGGGTGTCCTGGCTTTCTTCTGAGTGGCCTTTTCTTTTATCTTTTTTTTTTTTTTAAATGGCCAAAGGAGGACTTAGCAGTTAAATAGCAGAAGTCCCATAGGTAAGAATGATGTCATTAAAGAAATTTTCATAGACTGTATGGGCCATCCATGGTGGATGGAAGAAGAGTGACATCAGGAGATTATGATTGAGAACCTGGAGAAAACTAAATTGAGACAAAAGATATGGGGAGTATTGAAAACTAAAGAACAAAACAAATATCAAATATAAAAGTTGTGAATATTTTTTCAAAAAGTAAAACTGAAGCTGGACCTGGTGTTTCATGCCTACAGTCCCAGCACTTGGGAGGCTGAGGCAGTAGGATTGCTGTGGGTTTAAGGCCAGCCTGAAATACAGAGTGAGACCGGTCTCAAAAAAAAAAAAAAAAGAATGCTGGCCCCATCCCCTGGGGCGTGCTGAGATGGTGATTGAGACTGTGCATGAGGCCAGGGAGATGGCTCAGTGGAATAAGCACTCCCCTGGCAAGCGCAAGGGCCTGAGTTCAATCCCTGGTTCCACCAAAAAAAAAAAAAAAAAAAGATAGGAGAATGGGCATGGTGGTGTGCACCTGTAAACCCAGCGCTTGAGAGGCTGGCAGCAAGAGAATCACTGAGTCCTAGCAATGGCTACCCTGTAGACCCTGTACTAAATACATTAAAAAAAAATGTCACATAAAAGTGAAACTGTAAAGTGCTAGGAAAATGTAGGCTATCATGTTAGCATATACAAGGTCCTGGATTTGAGCCGTAGCACCCCTTCAAAATGTATGTGAGGGGCTGGTGAGATGGCTCAGTGGTCTAAAGCACCTACTTAGAACAAGCTTAGCAAAGCAAAGGGACCACGGTTCAATCCCCCAGCACCACATGCCAGCCAGCCCCGCCCCCTGGTGGGCTGAGCTGCCCCCCCACACACACATAAATAAATTTAAATAAAAAATAAAGAAATTTCTTTTTAAAAAAATGTATGTGAAACACTTAAAATATTAGAGAAGAGTTGGACTTCATAAGCATAACATGAAACTTAGATGATTTAAAATTATTAATGTCTTTGCGTAGAACTGAACATGTATAAATTATAAATCTTTTTAGAAAGTTAAACCTAAAAAAAAAAAGAAAGTTAAACCTCAAAAAGTTTGCAACATGGATGACTAAAGCAAGATTCCTTTTATATACAAAGAGCCCCTACCAATCATTGCAGAAAACTGAATAACAGGATTTGTATATAAATCCAAAAAAGGAAATTCAAATGTTTTTAAAAGCATAAAGATGGTGGTTAACCTCACTTTTAATATAGTTGCAATTTAACACAGTGGGTTATTGTTTTCTGTTTATTCTCTTGGCAAAAGTTTAAAAATTTAACAGTGGACTGAAATTCTGTTGCTAAATATGTAAAATGGGGCACATCCATATGCCCTAAACTATTGTACAAATATATTACCACCGCATTGTTTTCAACTGCAAAGTATCTTAGTCTGAATTCTGTCCAAAGGGGACAGATAGGCCCATGACATAGAGCAGTTTATAACCATTAACAAAATGGTATACCTTTTGAGTTGCCATTTGTATTAAGATAAGCAAGTGGATTATAAATGCAAGGAAGGTGGCGGGAAGGCTGTGCTGGTAAGTAGTAATACTGACTTCCTCTGGGAAACAGACTGAGCAGGAGATGGGCTTGTAAAAATTGCTAACGTAGGCATGAAATTAGGCTAGACCCAAGCTATCAGCCAAACTGGGCTTAGTAGGTGAAGTGTCAGAAAGCAAGCAGATTCATAAGGGAAGCCAATGAACAGGGCCGCAGAGCAGGTCACTAGCAGAGACCACCATCCAAGCCGGTTCTGCCTCACGTCCAGATATTTGACAGATTTCTTACAGCCAAGGGGCAGTGGCAGGATGTGGGCAGTTTGGATAAAGGAACAACCTTAGGAGAAATGATGAACCGGTTCCTTTACAGGGCATGAGAAATTTGGGTCAGAAAATCCACTAGCCACACTGGTGCTGCTTTCAATGTCACCCTTGGTCATATGTTAGAAGAGGACACCAGGGTATGGTGGCATACGACTGTTAATTCCAACACTGGAGAGGCTGAGGCAGGAGGATTACCATGAGTTCGAGGCCAACCCAGGCTGCAGAGTGAGTTCAAGGCCGGCCTGGACTGAGCAGCAAGACCCTGTCTCAAAAAAGAGAGAGAGAGAGAAGGCCGTGGCCAGGCCCCAGCTAGAGGAGAGAGTATGTCAAGGTCACTGCACCACCCTGCCGTGGCCTCCTGCCCTCACCTAACTTGCTGGATAGTTAGAGAGTACGGCCTCTTCCGTGGTCAAGTGGAACAGAGGCCCGAGCCAGGGCCCTTCAAGCACTGTGCTCAAAAGAAAGCCCTTGGAGGTTTTTTGTGTGCAGCCCTCCAGATCTGAGCTACTCACTGTTTCTACCATGTTCAAAAAGCAAAGCAAGCCATTTATTGGAAGAAAACAATTCTGTTTAATGTGAAAAGGGTATTGTGCCCAGTGTTAATCACATGCGCATGTTATGCACTTGGCTGTGTTGCGTCTACTGACAAGCTTTCTCATGTGTGGGCGTAATTCTTCTACTCCAGAGTGCTAAGTTCATTATTTTCAAAGCCAAATGATTATTTCCCAGAGAATTTCTACATGTAAGAGAGGAAAGTTGTCTCTCATTCACAACACACCTTATTTTCAATAAACTGACATGGAACCCTGGGTTTTACTTGTTTTCTATTGATTTGAAACAGAGTGTTGGGTTCTGTCTGGCCTGTGTATAACCCTAGCTTCCAGCAAATGCATTTGGACTCGATTGTTCACTTGAGTTGCTAAACACCTCTGGTTGTGCCTGAGCCTTGTCTGCCTGGTAAAAACACATTTTCTTATTCCCGTGAGCCAGACCTCAGGGAGAGAAAACATCAATTTATATTCTGTTCTTTTATCTTTCTAGGCAAAATCCATGTTTGGTGACCAGAGCTGTATATATTGACATTCTCTTCCTGCTGACTTACTGCCTCAACAAACCCACAAAGGGCAGCCAGCCAGGTATGATTCACAGTTATGTCCTATTTGGGGTAAAGGTTATAGGCCTTTGAGGTATGGGCGGGGCTCTGAGCAACTCTACTCTGCACTTGCACCGCACCGTGGTCTCCTTTGGTTAGATGAGCTGCACATCAAATTCAGTGGTATCCTATGGCCGGCTCCCTCCTTGAAACTGCTCCAGGAAGCTTGTCTTTGTTTACTTGGGAGTTTTCCTTTAAATATTTTGTCTTTCATCATCCAGAGAAGAGTGTGAACTCTGTTCAGACACCCTCTGTGCCTCAAAGACCTTGGCTTTTCCCAGATCCTGCATTTTCTTCAGAGGGTCATCCTTTCCAGTGACTGCTGTCTTGGTCCTGAGGAGATAACTGGGCCTGCTCAAGTGGCGGGGAGCTGGGGCGTTTGTGTTCCCCTCTCAGACCCACTCGGTACTGTGCAGGCGTCGCCGCCTCAAGCTCAGGCATCATACTTGTTAGGCCATGTATGATCCCAGATCCACATGCAATTGTCTATTTTAATCACAATTCATGAAGTGTTTTTTGTTTTGTTTTTGTTTGTTTTTTAAAGGGAGAAGGGCAACTCCAAATAAAATTTTTGAAGTATTTATATAAGAGGCTGTAGGAAGTACTCTACATGAGTTCCAGGCCACAGACTGAAATTGATTTTCATCAACACAAGCTGGAATGCAGAGTAATGAGCCTGCAACTGGTTAAAATCAGCCTCTTATAATTGATTAGGCCTGTCGCAGGGAGGCTACAATTACAGTCCCGCTGAATTCTGAGTGCTCACAGGCCAGGCCTCGCCTCTTCCACTCAGTCTGCCAGTGATTTGTTGTCTTCAGTAAATATATTCAGGCTGTCCAGGGCCAGCTTTGTCCATATGGAACCGTGGTTCAAATTTAAACCAATTTACAATGCTTTGTAGGGGAAGATGTGGGCGGGGCTTGCACCTCATCGAGCTAGATGTGTACATTAGCCCACAGAACTCCTGTGGCCACGCAGAGGTGGGATGAACACGCTGGATTTCCTCTGTTCTGTATACCTCATGGGGCAGCAGAGTATAATTCAGTGGTACAGGATCGTAGGGTTTTGTGGCTATAAAGCAGGCACAGTTTATGCCATTTACCTTGGCATAGTTCTTAGTAGTGTACCCCTTTTATTCTTGCAAGTGTCCAAGTTTGCACAATGAATTATAAACCATCCTAGCCGTAAGGGACCTCAGTATTGCATTCACTTTAGTTTACACTTGCATCAACTGAGATCCAGAAATTTTATAGCTTATAAATCATGTTATCAAATAAGTTATTTTAGATTTCTACCAGCTGTATGTTTCAGTTCCATATTTCACACAGCTTTAGAATACAGTACTTACATGCTTATGTATTTAAAAGGGACTGCTTATCCACTGGCTTCCTAACAGAGTCATGTGGTTAACTATAATCATTAGTTTATTTGAACTGACTTTTCTTGGCTCATTTAGTATCGTTATTCCTTGTCTAACAGGATTAACCCTTGAGTGTTGTAAAATCTTACCTTTCCACAACTTTTGCTCTTTACTGATAAGCTGAGTTCCATGAAGATGTCTTGAGTTTTTCTGAATCATTCTTTCCTTCACACTCTTAACATTTACAGCTTATGCCCCAATGAAATGTAATTGCAGCTGTTTTTGTTTCTTAAAGGCATGCACCACTCCTCAGAACGTCTTCACGGGTGGGAAGCTCTAGGGACACCTGTCATGCTGCACATGTTGTTCAGCACTGTCTGATGAGGAAGCTCCTAATCACATGTGGCACTTGAGATGCAGTCCAAACAGACATAAAAATATACCAGGTTTCAAAAACTGTGCATGAAAAAAAAATGTAAAATTACTCCAATAAATTTGTATTGAATACATTAGGAAAGGTAATATGTTTGACATTAGATTAAAATGTAAAATGTATATTTAAAATTACTTTCACCTGGGCTGGGGAGATAGCTCAGTAGAATAAGCGTTTGCCTGGCAAGCACAAGGGCCTGAGTTCAATCCCCGGTTCCGCCAAAAATAAATAAATAAAATTACTTTCACCTGTTTCTTTTACTGTTTAAAATGTGACTACTGGGGGCTGAGGAGATAGCTCAGTAGAATAAGTGCTTCCCTGGCAAGCATAAGGACCTGAGTTCAATCCCTGGTTCCACAAAAAAATAAATAAATAAAATAAAATGTGACTACTTAGAATGAAAAATTATAAAAAAGAAAAATCATCAAAATATGTGGATTTAACAAATGGAGATAGTTAAAAATTTGTTAATGACTTATTACAGAAACCAAAGTGGTACCTAAAAGTAACAATATTGGTAAAAGAAAAAAAAAGGTGCCTACTAGAAAATTTCAAAAAAAAAAAAATTGAAATGATCACCACAAACCGTGCCAGCCCCACCCGTGGGGCTGAGATAGTGATTGAGACGGGGTGTGGTGACATTCGCCTGTAATCCCAGTGCTTGGGAGGCTGAAAACAGGAGGATCACTGAGTCCAATCTATGTAGTGAGCCGCTGTAGAACCTGTACTAAATACATTTAAAAAAGAAAAGAAAGTTTCAAATGATATTTATGATTTGCATTTTACTCCTATTAGCATTGGTTTTGTCCAAACCTTTGAGAAATTGGCCTCCTAAACCCCAGAATGCATGTCTGTGTATATCAGTATCTTACCTAAATGAAATTGTGTGTTTGGGTAACGCACCCACACAGATAGTAATAGCAAAGTTTCCTCCAAAGAAGGAACTAGATTTTTAGAAATAACCAAACATCAAATAAAATGGTGATAAGATCGATAGCACTCTTTGACATAAAAATAACCTGTAACATTAAAGTAGTGAAATTTGTTCTTGTGTGTTTCATAAATTGTTTTCAAAGACAGTATGAGCAGTAGACAAATATATCACCAAATAAGAGAATCTATTTGGTTGTGTTGATTTCTATATGTTTTCAAAATAATGTTATGATATTATAGTTTTGCTTTGTAAGTCCCTAGAAATTATATCTTAGATTCTTTGTCACTCAGCTCAGCATATAGCAGACCCTTGCTAAATTGTTATTAACTGATTGGTTGAAATGTAGTTTCCCTCAGGTTTTTGCTTTGCTTTTTGGTTGTCATTTTGCTTTTCTTTTTGACACAGGGTGTCACTTTGTAGCTCAGGCTGGTCTTGAACTCACTGTATAGCCCAGGCTGGCCTTAAACTCAAGGCAATCTTCCTGTCTCTGCCTCCCAAGTACTAGGGTTACAGATGTGCACCACCACTTCTGGGCTTAGTTTTTAAAATGGAGTGGTTGGTATTAAATTCCAAGTCTTAGGCAGGTATGATGATCTAAGCCCATCCTGACCATTTTAGTGAGACCCTCTCTCAAAATATAAAGTAAAAGGCTAAGGATATAGCTAAATACAAAGGCCTGGGTTCACAAAAAATATAGATGCAAGTCTTATTTAAACTCATCTATCACTCAGAAGTAAATTTAATTTCTGAATTCAAATGAGGTATTTAGGTCATATGTGTATGTTTATAAAATGTATCTACATCTGTTTCTACCCCACAAACCTCAGGATGGCAAGGACAGCACAAGACTCTGAAGGCAGATCCCTGAGTTCAAATCTCAGATGGCTCATTTAGGTTATAACCTTAGCCAAGATTTTAATCTTGAAACACTGTCTTGTTTTAAACAGGGCTAACAATCAAGTCTATATCTCAGAGCAGTTGTCAGCTTGTACATATAGAGCATTATGCAAAGAATGTGCTTTGCATGACAGAGATTAAGTGCTGGATAAATATTAGCTATTACCATTAGTTGTAAACCAGGCTCTAATCCAATCTCCAGAAACTTGACAGAATTGTGTTCGAGCCTCAGATTCGTAATTCTCCTATTTTGAGCAGTCTTCATTTGTACCCCTGGCATAAATTGTTAAGAATCCATTTGAGTTTGGATGCTTTGGACCCTCAGCCTGGTTCAGAAAAAGATCTTTGTTTTTCTTGTTCATTTGGTTCTTCATTCATTCATGAGACACACTAGTATCAGAAGTAGTTGAGGACCTGAGTCTGAGTCTGGAGGTGAAGATGTCCTGGAATTTATGTAAGTACAATGAAGAGTGCTGCTCAGGATTGTGTAGCGGATGCGTTTGAAGCACTGAAGAAAAAGGTCATTTCTGCTTGAGAGAACAGGAAAGGCTTATAGAGGAGTTGGTGGGGTGGATTTTGATGATGAGCAGGGATTCACCAAATGGGCAAGGGGAAGGTAGCTCTTACCAACATAGGGGTCAGCATAGCCCAAACCACAGAGGCATCGATCAGCCAGTCCAACCTTCCAAGACTGGAGTGTTGGGTGTCTGGAGTGTTGGGCTCCTGGCCAGGTTGGACGTGCTAGAAGCAAGGCTGAAGGCCTGAGTCAGGTCAGGAGGGCCCTGTAGGCCAAAGCCTCAGGAGTTTGGACTTGACGCTGTAGACAAAGGGATTACTGGAGGATGTAAAGCAAATGATTTGATACCGGGGATTGGACTCAGGACCTTGTGCTTGCAGGGCAGGCACTTAAGCCTCTGAGCTATCTCCCCAGCCCCTGGAGGTGATAAAACAGGGAAATTATGTGAGGATCTTTTTTGAATTTCTAGTTCATTAGGGCACATTTGTAGTACATAATGATTACTGTGCGCAGGGGAGCTAGTGCTCCTGCATAACACGTCTTTCTCAGCCCGTTTCTTCCCTCCACTCTTGGTCCCCTTCCTCCCTGCTTACCTTCTATAAAAACTCTTGTCTCCCTATTTCCTATTAGCTTTTGTTTTGCCCTTCGCTTGTATTTGGGTTTCTCAAAGAAGACAAACCATGCAACATTTAAGTTGTGTGTCTGATTTATTTCATTTAACACTATGGTCTCAAGGTACATCTGTAGATCACGTGGTTTTTAGAACAAAGCATTTTTTTTGGATGTCCTCATCCTTATAAACTCTCTGGACTCTTATGGAGCCATGTCCCTGGTGTCATTCA